AGAGAGAGAGAGAGAGAGAGAGAGAGAGAGCCGTATTAATGGGTAAAAAGAGTAGAAAAGACCTCAAACAAAGCCGTGTTTCTACCCGAGTGCCCTTCCCACGCGAGAGAAATATATTCTTGAATTGATTAGTATGTCTGGATCAGTGCACTGAGGTGGTGGTGAGAAACGGGGAAATTATCCAGTATTTGAGCTACTTTGGTTTCAGCGGTTTCTCCCCCAACCCCCCCCAATAAGTGTTTTCTGTCATCAAAGCAGGCTTCGTTGGGGGTTTCTCCCCCAACCCCCCCAATAAGTGTTTCTGTCATCAAAGCAGGCTTCGTTGGGGTTATAAACAAGAGCTGTGTGTGTGTGTGGAGGGGGGGGGAATAGCCTGGCATGTTGGGACAGATCCAGATTAGAGACAAGAGGGTTCCTGTTTCTTCTTTTTGATAGTTCAACTTGGCTCCAGAGGTTTTCTGAAAATAAACGTTTTCCCCCAGTGTTCTGTTTTGTCAGCAGCCCCTCTGTTTTTTAGAAGCATGGAAGAATTCTAGCCTCAATGAGCTTTTTTACAGAGCCGAGGGGGAATGTAGCATTTGCTCATTGGAAAGAACACGATAAATGCTTTGCTGATGACTGTGCTTGTAATGTATCGGGCCGCTTCCACCCACGGATTCCCTAGCACTGCTAGCCTAGTCAAATGATTCTCCCTCTTCCCCCTCCCACTGGTAATTAAAGATATCTTCTAGGACACAAATATAGGCATATGGATGTTTATAGGTGCTATAATGTTAGAAAAACTTTGCTCGGGTTAGCCATTTCATAAAAGCTCTGAAATTCAGAGGCCTATAACTAAGGCTCACTTTTCAGGCGCAGCTTGGAAAAGTTACCTGTTGGACTACAATTCCCAGAATCCTCCTTCGTGGTCATCGTGATGAAGAAAGGGGGCTTCTGGGGAGGTTATCCCAACAGGTAACATTTCTGAGTTCTGCTTTCATGTATGTAGAATTAACATTTGTTCATCTGTCTTTGCTTGAATGTTGAATGAGACATTGTGATACTGCACTTAAGAGCTTTTTCATGCACACTCCAATCCTGTGGATTTGGCAGTAGTCAGGTATATATTTGAGTGTGTGTGTTTTAAGGATTATATTCTGTCACTTTTGGCACAAACCAGGAAAATTTGGTTGCATTTTGCTTCTCTGAAAGTTTTGAAATGCAAACATTCCTAGAATCTTTCTGACATGCTAGGTTAGTGTATGCAGGGATTGTTTTGTACAGCTCTGCTGCTTGTTTATGTGACACCCCCCCCATTTGTAATGAAGCCGAGTCACAAGGTCATCAATTTGGAAGTCTCCTCATTTACAAGTTTTTAGGATGAGCATGGGAAAAAAGGCTTGGAAATCCGTGAGAACAGATGCTCCTGATGTGCTTCACAGTATACGCATGATAATTGTCATGGTTTATATGGATTCAGGGATTCTAAACTTTTCCATTGAGTCTTCATTCTAGCATCTCCTCTTTCTCTTTGTAAAACCATTTCTCAATTTTTTTAGTAGCCTGTTTAACAGGGCCAGTTCTTAATTAATCAGATGAGTACAAGGATTGTGTGAGTGAAAACACTTGTTAAAACAACATCACTAAACTTTTAATTGTAGTTGTGATATGATATGCTAGATTTGATCTAGCATGTAACAGCATTATTGCTGAATTTGTCAGGAGACTTTGAAGACTAAGCACAACATTTTATTAAAAAAATAATTTGGAGCCCGAAAAACCCACAACAACCATTAATTTGGATTTGTTAGTATTGTATCAAGATACTTTTATTAACTATCACAAAAGGCTTTATTCTGAGAAATTCAATTGTCTCCTCCTCCCCCCCTTTTTAAATATAATTGGCAAAAATGCAAGCAACATAGAAAAATGTGAATCAAAATGCAACTAGCCAAAATTGACAAGCCCCATTGATTGAAGCAGGAGAGTTAAGCAGTCACTAAAATTGCTTTTGCAGAAATTGGCAAGAAAGTAAAATCTTTCTTGTAGAAGGAACTAGATTGTGTCTAGAAGTTTTCTGCCTGTGTTCAATATCCCAGTCCTAGTAAGTTTCTTGGAAGTAAATCCAGTTGGTTTTACAAAGACTTTCTAAACAGATGAATGTGTTTAGATTCAGGAGTTAATTTGTGTTGGGGCTCAGTCTTGATTTATGTTTCCAGTGCAGTGGCTTATTCCTGAAATAGATGAAAGTATGCTTAGCTAGATGCAGGGTGCGTTTTCTGACTCTCCACCCCCGCCGTAAGTATACGGTCACCATATAGCCAAGATTAAGAAGAATGGTTTCCAGATTAGAGTAGGCTCAAGGGTGGTGTTTTTCTAGAAATCTAATACTGAGTGGAGTTGTATGTGAATAATCTGTTTAAAATTGTAAATTTTAATCTCTCTCTCTGTATAACATGTCGAGAATGACTGGCAATAGTGTATGCATTCCCTGTTTAGCTAGATTACTAATTATTGTGCAGCTAATCTTCTCTTTCTCTCTTTTTCTTTTTCATTCCCATTTAGGCCCGGTGTGAAATGGAAAAATACCTGACACCCCAGCTTCCTCCAGTTCCTGAACAGAAAAAGTACCGGCGAGACAGTGCCTCTGTTATCGACCAGTTCTTCACGAACGGCGAGAGCATGCCTTATAGTGTGAATATGAACCTGTACCTGCCTGATGTCACGCAACTCAGAACAGGCCTCTACAAATCACAGAGGCCCCCACCGGTGACCCATATCAAAACTGAGCCTGTCAGTTCCTTCAGCCACCAGAGTGAGACAGCTCCGACAGCCCCCAACCCCACCCAGGCGCTTCCTGAGTTTACAAGCATCTTCAGCTCCCACCAGGCTCCTGACATGAACAACCTCTTCATCAAGCAAGAGCTCCCCAGTCCTGACGTCCACCTCTCCATCTCTGCTCCCCAGCAGGGCCAGCTTTATCAGTTGCTCAGCTCTCCAGATCTGGACATGCCAAACCAAACCACGCAAGCCACTGCAGTGATGGACTCCCTTAACAATGTCTCTATGTCGTCTGCCATGACAGGCCTGAATACACTGTCTTCAGCTATGTCACAGACCACCATGAAGCCCTTCCATGGGATCCCACAGTGCACGTACCCCATGCCAAACCAGTTTCTTCAACAGCAAGCCACTTACTTTCCTCCATCTCCCCCAAGCTCAGAGCCGGGCAGCCCAGATAGGCAGGCAGAGATGTTACACAATTTGAACCCTCCTCCATCATATGCAGCTACAATTGCTTCTAAGTTGGCCATTCATAACTCCAGTTTGTCAGGAAATATCCCCATGAATTCGCCAGCTATCCCAACAGTACGATACAACCGGAAGAGTAATCCGGATCTGGAGAAGAGACGTATTCACTTCTGTGACTATCCTGGTAAGTATGGAAAAAAAGAAAAGAAAACTGTTACTCATATAAAGGTTAGAGATGGGGGTATTCGTATACAAATATCCCACACACATGGAAATAATGAGGGTCCAACTGTCCACCTACAATTTCCCACTTGCTGCCGCCTCCATGGCGACTTCCTATTGCGCTGTTCCCCCACAGTGGATTAGCCACTCTCCAACCTAGCATACTGGTCATCCCACCTCCTACCAGGACTGGGTAATCTATTGCGGACAACTGGATGATAGGAAGGCATTGCAGAGTCGGCAGCAGCAGCGAAATTGTAAGTGTACCCTTGTTATTTCCAGCTGTGCAGGGATATTCGTATACAAATACCTCCATCTCTAGTATAGGTGCATCTTTGTAGTAATTAAATAGAACTCTGAGGGGTTCCAATGCAGAAATTTAAAAAAAATCTTAAAAACAAATAAACGAACAAAACCCCAAAACATACATTGATCCAGCAAGTGTCTTTCTAGAAATACTGTCAAACTTTCTTTAGTTTGCTTTTATTTTCTACTAGATAAAAATCATCTCTGAATTTTTCCCCACTTGTTATACAGTAGGGCTGGATAATCTTTGTTCTGTTTTCAGGACTTCACCTATCAGAACACCCTAGCCAGATGGTAAAGGGTAAGGGGTTGTGGGGATTTCATTCCAAAACGTGCAGAGGGCTAATGCTTCCTGTGTCCTGTAAGCACCTCCCTACCCCCACAGCTCTTTCCTTGGAGATGGTGGCACTGTTGGCAACAGGACGCTGCACTTGTCTAGTTCCTTGGTAGCATAGCTTGTAATAGCACCCTTTCTGATCTCTGTTTTGTTTCTTTTAGTTTTCTTTTGTCTTAAAAGCGTATATAATTTCTAAGCAGTAGTAAAACTGTGGTTCTGGAAAAGTTAAGATACTGGTCTAAATCCAAAGAAAAAACTATTATGGGAGCTTAAAGACTTACACAGTTTTAGTGTGAGCTTTTGTCCTTTGGGGCTCCCCTTTTTAAATGTTAATTTTGCCAAGATGACTACTTTTGGTCTAAATCCAGTGGTTAGTTCCAACTTGAGGGGAACCCACTGAATGAGCAGGACTCATTAATTCTGCAAATATTTTTGTGTTAATGATGCTCCTCCACTTGGAACTAATGGCGAGATTTAATCCACTGTCGAATTGAGTGATAGATTTCAGGAAATATGAAAACTTACCTGACATCTTAGATTTGGCTGACTGTGATATATTTTTGTGTGTATGATTGAGCTAAATGCTAGTTCTAGGAGCTATCTTTTCATCATTAACAGGGAATGGAATATTCTGTACAACATACCAGACTTTTGAGTAACTTTCTTAAAATAAAGCAGTGCTGTCAACTAAAGCTATCAGCAACCTTTTGGTATTTCTACTGAATCTTAAGGTTTTCTAGATATGAACTCTCCCAACCTTTATGTCTCTATTTGCTTTTGTATCTTAGGTTGTGAGAAGGTCTACACAAAATCTTCCCATTTAAAAGCGCACCTGAGAACTCATACTGGTATGTGTTTACTGTGTTTTTAAGCACCCTGTAAATATATATTGGCCATCCTTCCTTCTCTTGCTTTGCTTGAAAGGTTTCACTTGGTTTGCTTCAAGCTGAGAGTTATAAACCAGCCAAACAGAGTGGTTAATAAAATGAAAACTGACACTTTTGAACTTCTTAAAATAAAGAGGTTTAATTTGGGCAGTGAATAAATACCGGCTTTGAAGCCCTATCATTCCCTCCCACCCTCCTGAAACATTTTCCAGCACAATTATGCTGCAATTTGAAGGGGGCTGGACTTCTATTTGGCATTGTGTTTCTTTTGTGTCAGTGTGTTTGTGTGTGCCATGTACGTAGAGTAAAAATATGTATCCAGTATCATCTTAATTGAATTAAGACTGCAGCTTTATAACATTTACCAAGGAAGAAGCCTAGTGGGGCTTACCTCTGTGCAAATCTGTATAAAACTGCACTATAAAACAGAATTACATTTGATAAATCCTTGCCTTATTTTATTTTGTAAAAAAAATGTTATCCTAACAGGTGTGTTTGAATTTTTTTTTTTTTTTTTTGCCAAAATATGTTCCCTAAATTGTTGTTTCCACAGAAATAAACTTCTGGGGGGAAATTAGATATACATTTCTTTAAGACTGCAAGTCTTATTTTGTTGTGAATTACCTTTTTTTTTAAAAAAAAAAGTTGAGTATGTGTGTAAGAAATTTAAATCTGTCCTGAACTGTATGCATTTTCATTCAGACACAGTTAGCTGCCTTCCACATGGAAATAGGTTTTCATGGGTATAGTATTTGCAGTTGTGTTTTATTTTCTCTCATCTGTGGAGTAGCAGACCTTAGAGAAGTTATTCTTTTGGACTGCAGCTTGGAGAAGCTACCCCCCCCCCAACATGGTGTGGTTTTGAGATTGTGGGAGTTGTCCCACACAAAATAATATTTCAGAGCTTTGGGGAAGTGAAGGCCTAACTAAGTTATTGTACTGTTTGCAACCATCTTGAATGTTTAGATTTTTAGAGCACTGTTGGTCTAGCTCATACTTCATTTTTATAACATGCAAGTATAACATCCCCCCCCCCAGCACAGTGAATTATTATTTTGCATCCAGCATGTCCCAGGTTTAGTCTCTATCTCTAGGTGGGGGTGGAGAAGGCCTCTCTCCCTAAAATGTACTAATGGTGGTTTGGGTTAAGGCTGCTTCTCTAAGCCTGCCTGTATATATCTACATTAATAAACAATCTTAATATAAAATGCTTTTTAAAGCACTGGGATAGAAGAATTATTTGGGATTACTTGGAATTATTCAGGATAGACGAATTGGTATATCAGCTACTATGTCATTGCTGTCTTTCTGTAGATCACATATTTGAAATATTCAAAATAGCCTGTAAATGCTACACATGTATGCATCAAAGCAATTTGAATGTTCAAAGCAGCACTTTTGATCGCTTGTGGGGGTAGTTTATATGCACTGGACTTGCGGCTGAAACAGCTTTCTCATCTTTGTAAAGCGAATCAAAAATCTTTCTTTTCTTTTTTTAAATTGGGGAACGATCTGAGAGTTATTTCATCTATAGAACAAGGGCTTGTATTCAGTCATTGCTCATTGTTGAAAGACTGAATATCTCCAGGCAAAAGTGTTGCTATGGAAATGCATTTTTGATAAACAAAGCAGTTATCTCTAAAAGAAATAGTAAAATACACATGTACACACACAGTTTTAAAAAGCTATTTTAAGGCAGAAATTCTGTGCTCTGACAATACTAAGAGCCTCCCTCCTGTAGGAAGAGTTGCCTGTTGTATCTCTGCATGATATATTGATCTTGCCTTAAGTGTCAGCTTTACTAGGGAGGGTTCATTTTGTCACAGCTCTGCATTGAGTATATCCAAATGGTTGCGTGTCTGCCAATAGTCTCGTTTTGTGTAGAATTGCCCATCCTTAGCAGATAATGTCACAGTGCACAGCTTCATAGGTTATTAGAAAGTGTGTACATCTGGGACAAGGGAGTAAAGAGCAAACTCTTAATCAATTGTTTCCTCATTAATGTACCGATTTGTTGCATGCATCACTAATTCATAAACTATTCGGTAAAATAGCTACAAGGCCTCTGCTAATCCATGATTATCATCAGTCCTTGAATGCTAAATTTAGCAACCAATAATACTTTGAATTAATTTAATGCAAGAGTTGTGCCACCCATCCTGTAAAAATACAGTGGTGCCTCGCTTAGTGATGTTAATCCGTTCTGGAAAAAATGTCACTAAGCGATTTTAAAAGAAACACATTAAAGCTTGTTTAATGTGTTCCTATGGGCTTTAAAACTAACCTTATGCGAAGATCCTCCATTGCGGCGGCCATTTTCGGTGCCTCTAAAGCGAGGCAACACAGTGGGTGGCCATTTTGTTTTCTGGCAGCCGATCAGCTGGCCGAAAATGGGGGCTTTGTGGTGATCGCTTCCCCACGATCATCACAAAGCGATTTTCCCCATAGGGGCCATCGCTAAGCGATCGCTCTGGCGATGGCCAAAACCCCATCGCTAAGCGATTTCATCGCTCAATGGAGTGATCGCTAAGCAAGGCACCACTGTATTGTCTGAAGAGCAGGATATAAATCTATTAATAAATAAAGTTGGCTTCATCTTGCTGTAGTAGTGGGATAGTAAAGAGATTTGAACAGTTAAGTGTTTTTTTTCTAAGGAAGGTTTTCTGAGCTGTGTTACTTTTGATCTGCCTCATGTCTGTGTTTCTGTCTGGAAATAGGCTGCAATCCTGTACTCCAGATTTTTTTCAATGGCAGTTCCTCTTCAAAGTGACACTTCTATGATGTTCTCAGTGCAAAAAGATAAAATATGCAAGTGTTTGCACAACAATTGGAAACATGTTTCTTTACTACTACCAGTTGTGCATATGGAATACATAATAAACGTAGAGGATGTGATTTCAATTAATTCTTAAAATTAGGAGTGTTTGCCAGGAAGGGTGTGAAAAGAACAATGTAGCTGAATTATGAAGTTTAAAGTAGCCATTTCTCCAAAATATCCTTTCATTCTGTGTGTTCATTTGGCTTTTTTTTTTCTTAGCAGAAGAATTTGTGAACAATTTAGCTTGAGAGCTTTAATAAATGTAGGTCATGAAATGCAGGTTATTAAAGTTTTGTGTGATACTCTTTCCAATCCCCTTAGGGGTTTAACAGACCTGTTTGTCTGGTTCAACTTGTTCTTTAGTATCTGTGAAGGACCATTGGTTGTTTCTGTCTTCCTAGCAATCCATCCTAAACTGACTCTTACCCACCTTTCTCTCAGCAAGCTGTCACTTTTAAATAGCCCCTCTCTCCAAAATCAAAAAGCCTGCAACAGCAATCTGTGTTTTGAGAAGTCAAAACAGACATTGGTATACTTTTCTTTTGTAGTATAAACCTAATGCTTTTTCATAGTATTTATTTAGCAACCTGTCTCCACCTGAATGGCATTTTGCGAGTTTAATGACATTCTTTTCAGAACAGACGTAAAGGCAGCACCAGCGGTGGTGAGAGATGGAATGTGGGCAGCAGGCAGCGGCAACAGCCTGTGTCTCCATTCAGATGAGAACAAGCTGGCAGGATTTAGAAACTGCAAGAAATAAAGAAGTTGGCAAAGGACCATAAGCCTTACAGCTCGCTCAAGAGTGTGGGAGTGGTAGAAACGGATCCAAAGATACAAGTGTTGGGCCTCAGCATATGCAGACTAGTGCTCCAGTATCAGGTGGTTTCACTAGCTGGATCTCTAAGGCAGTATTTCCCCACCTGGGTTTTGAGACCCCTCAAGGGGCTTTCAAAGTGTTTGATATGTATTGCAGCCGTTGTTGAATAATTTCTTTGTTGATCTTTTGGAGAAGTATATTAAAGTTAGCACATACATGTATTTATGAGAGATAGGAGAAAGAAGCCTCTACTTTCTGAGGTGTGACTTTACCCTATTAAAAATGCCTTTTTATGCAAATGTGATGGGGGATCTCAGGTTGCTTGGCTATTCTAAAAGGGGGTCGAGACTCAAAAAAGGTTGAAAATCACTGCTCTAAGCGATGTTATCGGCAGATATTTGCATGTAGTATGCCGTCTCTGTGCTGTGAAGAACATCATGCTGATATCTTTAGAGCAGAGCAAGCCTATTTTCCCTTATCAGTTGCCCACCCAAATAGGGACTGCCCATTGGATTTCAGTGGTGAAATATACCAAGTCTATTGATTGAACCTCAGTTGTGGTTAAAAAGATTGTCAAGCAGTTTATTGTAATGGTTTCATTTTCATTCTGAAATTATATTTCTCACAGTGTTTGCCATTATGGATAACACTGAGGCAGTGTGGTGTAAATGACAGTGCTTTACTCTTGAATCGGGGAGACTGGTTTGTGCCCCTCCTCAGCCATGTCGTTCACTGGGTAGCCTAGGCTCAGTAGTGGTTTTTTTTTTTACTTACTCTGCAGTGAGTTGTCGTTTTATTTTAGAGTTAATCCCACTGAACAGAATAGAGAAGGCAAGTCTGGGAAAATATATACGTATATGGTCAAGGTAAAACGTTGTGTTTTCCATCCAGAGATTTTAAAGATATTTAGTAAGTTTGTTAAATATCAAAGCTGACTTTAATGAGGGCAACCAGAGGTGCATTTTTAGTGGTGGTGTAGGAAAGGTAGTTTCAGGAAATACAGCTACTCACGTAGCCTGTACCTACAGAAGTATTGCTTCCTACACCATCAGTAATGATACACGAGTTTCTTCTTTCACATGTGATCTTCGTACCTTAAGGGTAACCAAACCTTGCTGTTGTCAAGCTGTGAAAAATCAGAGGCTGTTAGTTTACCAAAACCCAAATCTTGATCTGTCTTTGTGCACAAAAGTTACAGTAATTCCCCAAGGCTGTTGGAGTTTGGAAAATATTTATGTAAATCCTCATTCAGCCACAGTCTTGCTGGACACCCCAGGCCTGAGTCTGCTAATGGCTCATAAATGGTAACCGTGTGAAGCTGAATGG